TGAAATGAGTGTGATTGAAAACGTTATTCAATTATACTATTTCGCAAAGTAAGGACCATAGGTAAACATAGTATGCATGTTAAGAGCATGAGACAATTGTTGTTATAATTCAAGTAATAAGTTGATTACTCGAAACATTATACAATGAATAATGTGTAATCAACATGGTGACTAAATAAAAGGAGTTTTATATATACTCAAAAGTTTGGGGCCATATTGGATTCGATTGTTATTGTGTTTCACTTTGCATGTTTTGACTTCCTGAATAATAAGATTATTCGAACGTTCCACAGTCGCTCATACTTTGGAAGTAGGTATGAAAGAAGATTGTCATGAATTGGTTTGTAGATTGTCTAAACTGTATTAAACATAGCAAAGGTTTGCTGCAACGTTCATGAGTGCTTACGAATATGATTTGAGCATTTGATTAAACCCACGCTCACTTGGATCGCTTCATGGATTTTATCACGAGTGATTGGTTATATTCTTGAAACCGAGATGTGTGAGTTGTATCTTGCGAGTCAGTTACACATTGATAATATGTAAACGCACCAGTAACTTGGTGTTATAAAACGTATTGTTGTGTGTGATTCGGTGAGTGAGTACAAGCGAGCATTGAGTCGAAGTTTATCCGTTCCTTTTACCCAAAGTGGGATAAAAGTGATATCTGTGGGCCCCTCGATGATTTAGTGATGACAAACGAAAGTGCTCGGCTGGGCCAGGACTAATTTGATTTGTTCAATTAGTCAGTCGTCGTAAATCGGAAATCGGGAAACAACACATAAACTGAGAGAATGATTTCAATCCATGTCTCACGTCTATACGATATCTAGAATGGAGGAATATATGATCCCTTATCTAAAGGACGCGTATCTGATAAGATCAGAGTTGACAGTGGCTTTTGAATGCTACGATTGCTGATCAGGATCTGAAGTCATATGTAGAATAGTTATTAGACTTATCCAAGTGGGAGACTGTTGGATTAGTGTCTAAGCCCATAACTATTTTGGTATGTACTTGACCCGATTGCGAGCATGGTCCTTTTGGGTTGCCTTCACCAAAGCAACTTGATAGGATGATTTGTGGAGAAAGAGATTAATTATGATTTATTTATAATATATTAAAAGAGAAATCATATTGTTTAATTAATATTAGTCAAGAATTAATAATAATTAATTTTGTGGCTAAAAGACATTAATTAAATAAATGGGACTAGAACTGTCAATTGTGTGATAGTTAAATATTGGGCTAATGGACTCCATAGAGGATGGAGCGGACGAAATCTATGGGGAAACCCATAAGAATTCGTCCAAGGCCTCTAAGGAGGGAGTTCATGGGCTGCTTAGGGCCTAAGCAGTCAGATTAGGGTTTCCTAGTTCAAAACCCTAATAGCCTCACATATTTAAAGACCCCTAGGGCACCAAAAACGTGGCTAAGCATTCCTTAGGGTTCTTGGACGTTTTTTGGTGCCTCCTTCCCTTCTCCTAAGTCATCCTCTTGCTCTTGGTGTTTGTGAGCCATTAGAGGTGTGACACTTGTGACACTAAGCTTTCAGAAGCCAATTACAAGAAGGAATTGAGATTGTTATTGCTACATAACAATCAAGGTGAGATCTAAACCCTAATTCATATGTTATTTGATTATCACATGCTAGATCTAGGGTTTATGGATTTGGATGATTATTGCATGTTCATTAGACAAACTAGATCCAAAGCTTTAGGGTTTGCATGTACACCATAGGAATGATGTAGTGCTCATAACCCTTCAATAGACTGTCAAATGAAAATTCTACCCTAAGTCAACAACCAAACAAGGAATAGGAAATAAGGCTAAATTGATCATTCTAGGGCTATACAATCCTAATCGTATACAACTTTGAAAGCATACACTTAGCAAATAAATGAGCCGATATCAATTCCAAGTAATATATAGCATCAAGTTCCACTAGGCTATAAGGCATCACACAAATCAGGTAATTCTATCATATGATTCCTGAAGGTATCCTTAGCCCTAATCTAGCATGCAATTCTCATATCAAGCATACTAATCATAACACATAAGTATGGGTACTTTGGGAACCACTTAATTGAGTTCTCATATCTAGCATGCATCACACCCCTTTTTCTTAATAAAAAACTTTTTTTACCCTCATTTTTATTAAGAAAACTATTATTTCCTCATTTTGAGTTTTAACACACCCGCAAGTATGCCCGAATCCCTCAAACCAAGGCTCTGATACCAACTTGTAACGACCCAAAAACAATACAAAATTTTTTTATTTAAAAACTATTAATTTCATTCATTGATTGTACCAAAAACCATCAATTATTACAGTATTCCAAAACATCAGAGTACAACTATATCAAGTGCGGAAATCATATGGGGAGGATGTTGTGCCATCACGTCGGGCCCTTCCCTTTTGAACTGGAAGCACCTGAAACCATAAACATAAATTGTATGCATAAAGCTTAGTGAGCTCCCAAAATACCACATACAACATACATATAATATAACATCACGTGGCTGTGTCAGGTCCGTATCAACCCTCAGGTCCGTATCAACCGAAAATAACAACAAGTAGCTGTGTCGGGTCCGAATCAACCTCGAGTACGTATCAACCCCGAGTCTATAATGACTCCGAGCCCAGACTATCTCAATATATAAATCATACAATCACATCATACGACAACATACAATTTTTCTCATACAATACAGTGGGTCGGCCTTGATGCCTTCTGCCCACTTAAGGTGGTAACAAGACTCACCTTACAGATAGACGAAAAGTTGAAGTGACACGTTGCTATGAAACCCAAGCTATTGGTCACCTTTACGAATAACAGTAACCAAAACTCAGATTACCACTCAAATACCTAAAATACCCCTAGGTTAAACCCTAGTCAAAATCCAGGTCAAAGTCAACTGAGTCAATCGGGTTGACTCAGTCAGTACGTGGGGCGTACTCCTTGTGTATGCACGTCGTACTTCGCAGTCGACCGAGGATCGGGGAGCTGACCTCGTACGTGCAACGTACCCCTCGGTACGCCCAACGTATGCAGCTACTCATCACCCCTCTTATTAAGTGCTTAATGCCTTAAGCACTCACGTCCAAATTTCAGATCTAGGCAACAAAAGATGTTCTTAACCATAAAGTTTCCAACTTTATGGTTTAGCATGGCTATTAAGACCTTAACTCCAAAAACCCTAGTCTCTTAACCCATTAAGACAATCTAGCACTTGCATGGAGAGAAACGAATGACCAAAAACCCAACTTTATGACTTAACACCTCTCAAAACCTTTGGTAGCACAACTCAAATGCCTTGGAGTACCTTCTACTCACAAGTCACAAGGACCAACTTTGGGACAAAAAAGGGAACAACTTTGAGCTAAAACTAGATCCATAAGATTTCTACACCAAGGTTGAAGCTTTTTACCTCCCAAGGTGCACAAGGGGAACAAGATGTTGGATCCAAAGCCTTGAGGGAAACACCATAACCCTAATGCTATTCCTTCTACTCCAAAAGCTCCAAATGGCACCAAAAATGGCTCTACAAGTTTCACAATGCACTAACACTCTTTAAGGTTTCAAAATGAGGAAGGAGGCTGAAGATAAAATTGTGCATGTGGCCATAAATATGTTTAAATAGGGTCAAAACCCTAAAATTTAAGTGTTGCACTCTGGCTGCATACCCCTTCGTACCAGCATACGCGTAGCGTACTAATGTTAATCCGGGTGCGCCCTGCGTACGAAGGTGTACTCCCCGCGTACCCAAGCTGACCCCGAAATTACAAAATTGCCACCGGGGACAAACCTTGCAAATAAAGTACAACTCAAGGGTTAAAACGAATACTTGAATAATAGATGTTACAATAGGGGTGGCTCGTGGTGGCTGATCTGGAAGCTCACCACTACCGTTGTCATGAAGAGTATTGCGGATGGCCTTACACATATATTGTTGCCGTTCCAAAAAACAAAAGTAACCTCTTATTGAACTTCCAAATCCAAGTATATTTCAGTTATTATTATTATTATTATTATTATTGCATGTTTGTCTCATGTATAGAAGATGATAATATAAATTAAATATATAGCAGTTAAGAGAGAGAGAGAGAGAGAGAGAGAGAGAGAGATGTTTCTAGCCACAACGGTTCTTCTATGATAGTATGATGTTCCGAGTGCGGTGATGGACAACTTTACACCACCACATTACGATTGTAATATTCCGTCCTTATGTCACTATTTGTTATTAAAATACGGTGAAAATTTTCAACATACTTTGTTAGTTCCCCGTAAACACGTTTTTTAAAAATTAGTCCATATTCCAATCCTTTATCAAAATACAATCAAACCAAACAAAAATCAAACCAAACAAAGCTCTTTCTTATAAAAAGTTTACATTACCTATGGAAAACCCAACACTAGAGATACAAACACAAACTTCAAATCTATCATAAAAATATCCAAATTATTCCACAAACCCATTCACTTTTATATATACATTTCGGTGTCTTATTAGCAAGAGAGGTGGGTGTAATCGCTTTTCTAGTGTCTATGATTTCGATTGATTTAACCTCTTATAAATCTTCAATCAAATCATTCACTTTTCTCCATTTTGACATTCAAAATTCCAAATGTGTAGATGTGCTTCGTTATATATAATTCGAGAAACTCGATTATTAATTAATATACTAATAGTAAGAATAAGTACATTTTTTAATAGTTAGTAAATTAAAAAAAATGTCGTGAGAATACTTGAATTTGCCAAAATAAAAAATAAAAAATAAAGTAATATATGGGACTCTAAAATAAATGGTTTATTAATGTTCAGGGAGCTAAAATGTACAATAGTAAATATTTGCGGATATAGTGGGGAGAATCAAATAACTTGAGGCTTTCATTGCAAATATCAAAAACCAAAGTCCTCCGATCCCTTTATCATTGATATGCTAATTTTTATAAAAGTTATGAGATATGAGATCTTTCACTTCTCCACACCTCAAAATGGCTTCTTTTTCTTCTCTTCTTCTTTTGCTTTTGCTTAATGTGCTCATGACCTTCAAGACTGGTGATGGTGGTGACATGTCGAGCATGGAAGATGATGAGCTTTCAGGGCTCTTTGAGGTAATGGGTTCACTCTTAGATGACCCGACATGGGCCCAAGTGCACCCACAGCCGTGCACCGACACTCCATGGCCTGGTGTTCAGTGTGAGCTTATGGTTCAAGAAGATGGCGATGGTCAACAAGACTACAACCCTACAATCTTTCATGTAACCAAGATTCATATTGGTACAGATATCCTCACACCACCCTGCAAACCCACTGCCACATTGTCACAAAGAGGTTTGACCAAGCTTCCATACCTGAAAACTCTCTCTCTCTTCAACTGTTTCACTCTGTCACCATTCTCTCTCACTTCATCTCTCTTTGAAAACAGCTCTTTATCAGCTTTAGAACACCTAGCACTTGTCTCAAACCCTAGTCTCCATGGGAGTATCCCTTCAAGTTTAGGTCACATTCAGAGCTTAAGGGTCCTCTCCCTTTCACAAAACAAGTTAACTGGTGAAATCCCACAACAGATTTGTGGGCTAGTGAATCTACAACAGCTTGACCTGAGCTACAACCAACTCACTGGTTCAGTCCCTCAAGAAATTGGAGGGTTAAAAAGTTTGACCATTTTTGACCTTAGTTACAACATGCTTGAAGGTCAACTGCCTTCTTCTTTTGGTCAACTTCAGTCCCTTCAAAAGATTGATCTGGGGTTCAATGATATTACTGGTAGGGTACCTCAAGAAGTTGGAAATTTAACAAAGTTGGTGTTGTTTGATTTGAGTCATAACTCTCTAAGTGGGCCATTACCTGAATCTTTATTTGGTCTGAAACAGCTAGAGTACCTTGTCATTCAAGACAATCCTATAAATACAGGTATGCCCTTATTCATTGGGTCACTGGGTAGGCTTAAAGTTTTGAGCTTTTCAAGGTGTGGGCTGATGGGACCTATGCTCTCTTCTTTGTCAAGCTTAAAAAACCTGACTGCTTTGTCTCTTGACAGCAACAGCCTCAATGGGACAGTCCCTTCAGATTTAGGGTCGCTCCCAAATCTTGAACAGTTAAATTTGAGCCAAAATCAACTTAGTGGACAGATGTTGGTCTCAGAAGAGTTCATAAACAGGATAGGGATGAGGCTTGATATAAGAGGAAACAATGGGCTTTGCATAAAGAACATTACGTCCACCGATGTAAAAAGCTCTTCTTGTATTAGTGCAAGAAGTAGGACTGGTGGAAACAAGAGCTCATGGGATGAAGGAGGAGAATGCGGAAGGATGAACTCAACTTTATTCCAAAGCAATCGGTGTCCGAGGATTCACCATGGGTATGGTTTTTGGTTGGATCTAGTGTTTTTGTTGATGCTGTTTTTGTTATTTTTCGTTTAGTTTTTTTTATTGTCTATCCACACCATGTAATATAATGATTTTTTTCTTGGCCACAGTGTGTTGGATTATATACTTCAATAATTCTCTTAGCAATTTGATTACCTTATTTATGAGTCATCACCAACAAGTTAAAAACGCAGAAAAGAAATAACAAAAGCTGAAAGAAGTCAAGAGAATTAGTGGTCCAAATTATATGTTGAATACATATAACTTTCTATATCGAGGTGTTTGAATGTTTTTTAAGAGTTTTTATTAGTTTATATGGTGCTGAAACATATTTTTTTAACCGGCTAACATTTTCTATAAATCTTACTTTTAAATTATATATTTGTCCATCATAAAATTTAAACTTTTTAACTTGTCCGTTGACCATTCACACCCTACTATCATATCAGTTTTTCTTTATCATCTCTTTTCACCCTACTATCATATCAGTTTTTCTTTATCATCTCTTTTTCTATCTTTCTAAGTCTATAACAAACTCTATATTTCTCAATCTATAACAAATAGAAATGGTATTTTTCCTAACATTCTCAACCTACTTGTCACATCATTATTTTTAATTTAATTAAATTATAAAATGTAAAATAAAATAAAATATAATATTTTTTAATTAAAAAAAACTAATACAAATAAAAGAAATACACGATAATAAAAAACTCAAATTAAAAAAAGAAAACATAATTAAAATCTTAAAACAACAATTAAAATTAGCTAGTTATCCGGAGATGTGAGATTTACCGAAACACATTTACCTTAACCCTTATATTAATTATTTATTTAACCTTAACCCTTATATTAAGTACATAGAAAGTTAGCAGATCACTTGGCACATCCATTTTATCACATACATTAAATATGTAATTATTAAACCTTTTTTTTACCTTAATCTAAAACCCCTTTGACATGTTACAAGATCTTCTGCACATCCATTTTATCGACAACATTAAATAAACAAGTCACTTAATCTTTAATTTTTTTCTAAGATTTGTTCATTTTGTGTACATTCTAATAACATTTTATTATAGGTTTCTTATAATTTCTATGGTCCTTTATATTTTTTCCCACCTCTTAAGGTTCTTTAAATTTTTAGGTTAATTTTGTATATGTTTTTGTTAATTATCAAAATAGCATATTCGTCTAACCTTAAAACTAAATATCATATTTACTCGTCTTAATTTTCAAAATATCGTATTTGCTCAAATTCCTTTTTAAATATTTTTTTTGTCAATTTATAATAATTTTTTTATATTTTAAAATCATTATAATTTAAAAAGTAAAAACAAGTTTATCATATTGCCCACAAAATACCAAAAATTTAAGGGTTTGATAAGTGTATGTTCAATTGGTCATCAAAACGATGATATTAAAAAACGATTTGTAAGGGTTTTATAAACGTTTTTAATTTGTATGAATATGGTGCTATCACAATTTAATGATATCTTACTAGTAAAATATAAAAAAGTGTTAAAAAGCATGATATTAGGAGTATGTTTTTCAAAATAAGTTTTCACTGTCAATATAAAAATTGAAATATATGAAAACAATTGTTTATTAGAATGTCTATAAATCATCTATTGAAACAATGTGTGAAATTTGTGTAGAACATGAGTTGATTAAAACAAAAGTTAAATATCAAAGTGTAAATATTAAAACATCAACAATGTGTTTTAATTCAAGATTAATGATACAATCATTGTACAATAAAATATAAATCTTAATATAAAAAACTATAATCATACATAGTAATACCATTGTCTTTTATATATATATATATATATATATATATATATATATATCTATATATATATATATATTAATTTTAGGTTCCCTTAGGAACAGTAGTTTCAGTAAAAAAAATTACGGTTTAAAATATTTATAGTGAAATAACTTAGTTTGCTAATAACTTCTATTATTTTATTATTCTCAAAAAGATGTTTAAACAAATTTTATTTGAAAAATAAGAAAACAAAGCATAAAAAAATCTAAGATAAATATCAAGAAAAAAAAGTATGTTAGTTTATTTAACCAATAACCATAAATTTGTGTGTTAACTGTTAAATGTTTAAATGAATAAACAAATATTATCAAAAAATACAATAATACACAACTTTAAAATCAAATTTGATTGTCTAAGTGCATGAGAAGCTTCAACCTAATGTTTTTATTTTTGATTCTTCGATTGTTGCAAAAGAAATATGAGTATGAGGCTTATGAAATTTTCATTTATTTCAGAAAAAATGAAAGATTATGATTGAGCAAATCAAGTAGATATAAATGGAAATTGGGGACCAAGAATAAGCAAGGAAAATTTGTATTAATTGGAATTCAACATATTTAAAACATTTAATACATTACCATGTGGATTTTATAGATCTAAAACAACGTACAAAATTACAAGTGTCAAAAGCAATGAGAGAATGATACATGACATATTGATTTTGATTTATTATAGTAGAAGATAAAAGTGTTATAAATGATAGTGTCGTGGATGGCAGGTTCCTAAAAATTGTGCGATGATTTCTTCATCCATTTTATATGAAAAATGTGTTGTTATTTAAGGGTGATATAGTCAATCTAGTTTTATTTTTAAAAATTGAAATGATTTTAAAATATAAAATTGATTATTAATTAGGTTAATCTCATAAAATACCTTATATTTTGTGGTTTTTTGGGATTAAACGTCAACTTTATTTTTTCCCTTAAAAAACCTTGTATTTTTTTCATTTTTTTCGAAAAAACCCTCAACTTTTTTTCCGAAAGAGCGTTCAACCTTCTAACTGCTTCGAAATAAACCCTCAACCTTTTTAGTTTTTCTCAAAAAAAAAAAAAAAAAAAACCTTACATTTTACAGAAAAAAATGACCAAAATGGCCAAATCAGAAAAAATGAAAAAATACATGATATATCTTTTTTCGACAAAATATAAATATGAATTTTAATCCGTAAAAAAACACAACATATATAATGTATTTTATGAGATTAACCTTTATTAATTCTCAAAAATATTTAAAAAACGAATTTAGGCAAATTCAATATTTTTAAAGTTAAAAATGTTAAATACGATATTTTGATTTAAGGTTAGATAAATATGATATTTTGATACTTAACAAAGACATATACAAAATTCATCCTAATTATAAGGTCTTTAAATTTTTTTCGTATTATTCACAACTTTATATTACTTTGTTTTTTCATTTTTTCACAAATTGTTTTTACATGTTTTTTCACAATCAATTTTATAAGTTTTTTTTTTACTTTGTTGTTACAAATTTTCAAAATTCGTTTCTACAAATTCATTTTTTTACTTTTTTTTACATGTTTTTTTTTTTTTTTTTTCAAACCGTTTTTCACGTTTACATTTTTTATTTTGTTTTACATGTTTTTTTTTACAATTTCATTTTCTAATTTTTTACATGTTTTTTTTACAACTTCGTCTTGCAGGACTCTACACATTGCCACACCCTCTGCTTGAGCCATCGAGTTATTATCAATTTTTGTCCTCCAAAATTGCGATCACTTTGATTTCCAACCTCTATTACCACCAAAACTAAGTGGTGAAAAAAACTACAGGAAAGAAGTAAAAATTAAAGCAGTAAAAACGAGTTGTAAAGAAATGATGTTGTAAAAACAGATTGCATATAAAAAAGAAAAAAAAAATAATGAAGTTATTGAAATGAGTTGAGAGAAAGAGATAACTCAAATTTTAAAAAGAACCGATAGAACTCTTTATTTTGATTTTATTTCAGGAGATCGTTATGTCAATAAAGACTTATGTGGGCTGTTTGATCAAAATAACCCATCATTTCATTTCCTCGAACATTTACTTGTTCTTTTGATATGTGATATATGAACTTGTGCGTATGTTGTTTCAATCTTTTTTTTTTCTTCAAGCAATATATATATGTGCACGCTTTTGTTCCTGTCTTCATTTGAAGCATGTCCTACATCAAAACTCAAACTTATGAACATATGCACACGTGCATTGTGCATATGATATAGCCCAAACAAAATTTAATGCATTCAAAAAGGTCATTTTGTGAAATAAATGGTTATTTCGTGATGGCTTGAAAATGACGATATTTTATGATAGTTTATATCCAATTTTAATTATTTTAATGAATATTCTTCTAGTGTTTTAGGATGTACAATCAAAAGTTCAGTAACCTACAGCCAAGTATTGAGATACTAATGCTGATATTCTTTCAAATTAACCATACTTCACAAACATTTTTTTAAGATAACGATGGTAAATAGCAACCGAGCCAACTTTGCTGATTAGAAAAACTTTGGGCCCATACGATATTTCAAAAGAAAGGTATTACCGCCCAAGAATTGAAGCCCCGTGGAATTATAACATGAGATAACTTCTTTTCAAGGCATCTTCAACTAAATTAGTACGTAACTATTGCTTTTATTTGTTATATAAATATTCGGAACAAATAGTTAGAAGCTTTTAAAACATGTAAAATTACATAAAAGTCCATCTTGTAAAATATAAAATAGAAACATCAAAATAAAAAAATTGATTGTCTAAATTGTTCTTTTTCAAAACTAGGAAGTGTTCGACAAGTAGGTATTATTGCAAAATCTAAAGTCATACGACAACATAAAATATCTAGTAATAAAATCATCGACGTCGAGCATTCCATATTAAAAGTAGCAATATCATTACGGACACGCTTCATATTATTAGATCCTTCGTAAAAGTCTTCATCACTCGTGTCACTATCACGGACATCACGAAGTTCGTCAATTGGTACACAATCAAGATGTTCTGCAACAAAATTAAAAAACATATCTTCCACAATGCTACGACAAATGTAGTTATGCAAAACAAATGTGGCCATAATAATGCCAATTTGAGTTTGCACGCTAAATTTAAGCATTCCGTTGAGTATCTTCCATCTACTCTTTAAGATTCTGAATGACCTTTCAATACACCTTTGCAATGATGAATGAGAACGATTGAAAGCTTCTTACATATTAGTTGGAGGCTCA